GACATCGTCCTCGTCGTCGACGATGGTGGCACGGCGGAGTCCTACCGAGACGGCGATGATGTTCTACGACCTCCCCGATGATACAAAGGCCTTCGGCGTACTCAGCAACTTCTAACGGACCTACCCGAACCCTTAATCGAACCCTCAACGATCTACAACTCAAGCAGTGGCGAGTGCGACGGCATGGTGGAGCAAAACACGTCGGCGACCCGTGGTCCGGTGACTAAGGCATGGTAGAGGTAAAATTGAGCACTTAAACATGATCAGTGACTCACCCCAAAGATGGTGCGCGCGACAACGACGGCTAAGGCGAGGCGGAGCTAGGTCGTCTACAGCGGAGATGATGGCGGCGGCGTGAACACACTGTGAAGCTCCGTTTTGAGGAAATCAGTTGGCTAAACGATCAACGATCAAATGTATGAGCATCACGAGAGAATGATGCTCAAGAAACATCAAAAGACTAAGTAATCCCACCCGAACTCCCTGTTCACGATGGAGCAGATCACGGCGGAGCCTTGCCGGTGCTGAAGAAGACGGGTTTACGCCGGCCAAAGCAACAGGCTAGGACCAGGGCAAGTGGGTGCTATGGAATCACAAGATGATGGCGATCAAGGTGACGTGATTTGCAGAGACTTAGAGGGTGCTGTGGCTCCAGCGTGAGCTTGACGGAGCAGCGGCGGCGACACTGGAAAACAGAGGAGAAACGGACAAGCACGGCGGCGATGCAGGCCTTAAAGCGTGGCTCAGAAGCAAGAGGAAGCCACGCAGGAGCCTTCTCCGCGCCAGCGCGACGCCAAAGATGGCCACGGCCATGACTGGAAGCCAGAGGAAGGTCGCCGGCGGTGACAGCTGCCCGACGGTACTGTTCATCTTAATTACATAATTGCCATTCGCCAAATTTCACAAATTACTCCAAAATTTATGTAACAACTCAAAAATCTCCAAAAACAAAAGTTGTTCAAAATTCAAAGTTCTACAACTTTGCTTTTATAACCACCCCCTAATTCAGCCTACATTTTGAAGTGCAAGTTTAAATTCAAAAAGGGAACATTTAAAGATTTACGCCTTTTCAAATTACTTCAAATTTTACTAAACAACTTTGAAAACTCCAAAAACCAATTTTGTACAACTTGACAAGCTCTACATTTTTTCTTTTAGGATTAACCCCAAAATGTGCTTAGATTTTGAAACGGGTTTTCTAGGGCAAAATTAAATGCTGAAATTAGGGTTTTCGAAACTTCAAATCCAAACAAAACTTTGACTCGATTCAAACCATACAAGGCAACACTCATAACATAAATGTAAACTTGTCTTAGTGAATGCATATCAAAGTTTTCAATATGACAAAAAGCCTTACAATGCATATGATGACATGTCCTGTTTTAGTATTTAAAACACCCGGGGTGTTACACCAGACCTTCCAGTCAGAGAGGTGGGTCAGAGTCGGAAGCGAGCGTCGTCTCCTCCTTGGCCAGGCCTTCTAGTCGGAGAGGCGGGTCGGAGTCGGAAGCGAGCGTCGTCTCCTCCGTGGCTAGGCCTTCCGGTCGGAGAGGCAGGTCGAGTCAGAAGCGAGCGTCGTCTCCTCCTTGGCCCTCGCTCTTTTGGCCTGTCGTTTAGGTATCTGGGGCGTCCCAGGAGTTGCGCGTCGTTTCGCAACATCATCTACTGAACCAAGCTTTTGCTAGGAAGCAGGCCCATTAGGGACCCCGGGTTTATGAACCCGACACCTTGCAAGCTAACGAGATAGCTCTAACGTGCTAGGCTACGTTTCCATGTTGTCGAATAAGACGTTGTTTCCCAACAAGTGTTTTAGTTCTACAATCCCAAGGTGTTTCGACATTTTATTGATTAAATATATATTTTCAAACTAGGGCTCATTTAGCAAATTAATTATTATGGAGCTACAAAAATTACAGTGAGCACCTAATAATGTTAGGAATTTACTATGAAAATTTCAGAGCCAATACTATCACCAATTTATCGTAACAATTCCTACAAGTTTATATCTTACAATATTAAGTATCTTCAATTAATTAGATAACTCATAAAAATATTATAAAACTATGTGAACAAAATATACTAGCAGATAGATCATGATTTTAGGAACTTAACAAAATTAGTTTTTTAATTTTTGGTTAACTACACAATTTTATATTAAATTTACAAGTTTACCTTAAAAACTAAATTAGAAAATACATTAGAAAAAGGAAAGGGCCAGCTGCAACTCCTTCTGGCCCGACAGCCCAGCACGGCACGGCTACACGTGCGTCGCGGCGGCCCAGTATGGCCCAAGGCCGGGGGCGCACGTGCGTGTGGATGTTTTGCAGAAAGGCACCCGAGCTTTCAGAGATCAATACGACTACTATGCACACTATTCCTATAGCCAGTAACTTTGCAACCAAACCCTCAGATATTTTCACCTTTACCACGGGGAGATCAATACGACTACTAGGCTACAACTGCGAGTGGCTATCCGTGGTGGCGACGCAACTGTTTCGACGGCCTAAGATTCTATCAGGGTGGTAGAGATAGTGAATAAGCACCAGTAGCTTACCGGAATTCGTGCTGCAGTGGAGGTTGAGGCGTAGTGATATCGGCGATGCTCCAAGGTTGACACCGACACGTCAGGTCCTCACTCGCGTCGTTCCTAGTCAAACGAAGATGAGCAACAGCACGAGGGGACCAAGGTGAGCTCATAGGAACAACTAGTTGAACCCCTACCGAGGGGTAGGGCCGTACCCCCAAGTCATGCTCTATTTCGGAGGCGTGATGACCGGCGGCCGTAGAAACACTAATTTTGTCCACGCTGAGGCGTGACAAAGCCTCGATAGGGGTCGCCTGGCTAGTCGACTCCTTTGTCCACTTGCTGGTGTAAGGAATTGAACTGTGAGGCTCCGAGCTAAGCGAATCAAGGGGTAGAGCGCATGGTGCACCCACTATGGTCATGTCATGGAGAAAAGCATGCGGATGAGCTCGAGTGGTAGGGCGTGTTAAAGCGGGGCTCTGGTCGATGGTGGCAGAGCGAGCTCGTGCACACAGGTGATGAGACCTGGTGGCTTGGCGCAACGTGCTTGAATTGGAGCGGCCATACCCGAGCAGGTCTCACCGGCGTCGCTGAGAGGCGTCGCCGTCACCCTGTGACTCAGGTCGGTTGACCTAGACGTGGCGAGCGGCGGCATGGGCTCGCGGTAGGTGGGACACAGGGCAGGGCGACTGCCACATCGACACGACGACAATGGCCATGACCTTGGCTCGACCCCCCACGTGGCTCAGTGGACACGGTGGCGCACGCATGCAGCGATAGCAGGGGCACATAGCAACCGTATTGCGATGACGTCGTGCCACGCGACCGTGCAGCGGCTGCACCGGTGTAGCGCTCATGTGCACGCGAGGCCAGGACACAGCTCGGTCGGACCGACACGCAGCACGTGCGGTGACGAGACCGCCATCGGCAAGGTCACGCGCGGTGCACGCATGCGACGGCGCGAGCACCCACGCGCGACATCGCACACCCGAACATGGTGACCGCGCACAGTCCGAACGAATGCCCTAGTTGACGTGCACACATTTTAAAGCGCGTCTAAAAACTAACCTAACACAGTTGAAGCTAAACTACCTCGACCATGCTAACGAGGGTACATCAGTCTACCATAAGGAGCAAAAACACAGCGTTGACCATTAGCTAGATTTTCCAGAATTAATTCACCAACATGGCATTGTCACACTGTTTTCAAACTTAAAAATTCTTCCAAGTCTTGAGCTGAATTTGACTTCAAGTTCTATTTCCAAGCCATTAGAAATACTAGCTAGTCATATTATTTTTCTACAGTAAGAGTTGCATTGTCATTTACAAATTTTGTACTTCAAACTTTATTTAAGTATCACACACATGTTCTATAGTATTTTTGCTTAATAAAAATTGATTTTTAACCCTACTTGATATACATGAGTTATTGAATCAACATTGATTTAACATTTTTATTAGGCTACAAGAAATTTATCAACACCTTCTATCACATGCATTATTACATAAACACGATGCTCATGACATGATTTAGTAGTTGGTCTAGGGCATAACACCGAGGGTGTTATAGCTCTATCCCCCTTACACAAAATCTCGTCCCGATATTTGAAACAAGAATCAGAAAGGAAAAAATACGATTACACTTCATAGATCTGAAATTACACGAAGGATTACACTACATCGAACACTAAACCACACAGGAATTTAGAGATACATGGTTAAGAGCAATCTAGTACAACCCAGGCTTAATCCAGAAGTCAAGATAGATGAGGACAATGGAGAAACAACAAGAAAATGATTATCCAAAACATAGCGTATGTCCAACAGATCCAGAAACAAGAGACTGAGAACTCAAACATCGTGAACCCTAGGACCAAACTAACCAGAGGTGGGCTTGAACTTCTTCGACAAAAACTAGATCCCTTCTTCTTCTCGGATTACACAATCACCTCTGACTAGCGACCCTAGTTCCATGAACAACAACATGATCTTGTAGCTCAAGATGCTCGGGGAGACAGTGGATGACACCCGTGTGGTCAAGAAATCTCTCCATGTGGTGCCTCCCTGTTTCACCCAAGTGGTGGTCTCCATCGAGATGTTCTGTGATCTCAAGGTGACGACGGTGGAAGAACTGGTGGGGCGCCTGCGTGCGGCGGAGGAATGACTCGACGATAAGGTCGAGTAGATCATCGACAAAACAGGGTGTCTCCTACTTGCCGAGGAGGACTGGCTTGAGAAACACAAGCATCATTTCCATCCCGGTCCGAAGGAAGGCGACAGAGGATCTAGTGGCGGCCACTCGAAGGGCAAGGCGGCGGTGCGCTCAGATGGCGGCAGCTCAGGAGCAGTCAAACTGACCTCCGAGGGCACGCCAAGGCGGAAGGGGCGCTATCGCAACTATGGCATATATGGCCACTGGGCGCAAGACTACAAACGCCCAAAGAAGGAGAAGGAGGCCAAGCAGCCAGAGGCGAACATGGCTATGGGCGGCGCGGAACAGCCGGCGTTGATGCTGGCAACGTGCGACATCGATGTCATGCGCGGGCCGACACAGTTTGTCTACCTGGTGGAGAACGTGATCTCGATGGATGTTCTAGATGGCGTATGGGTGCTAGACATCGGCGCTAGTAACCACATGACTGGAACACGGTTGGCGCTGACATAGCTCGACGAAGGTGTTCGTGGCACAGTGTGGTTTCGTGATGGTTCACATGTTGAGATCCATGGCATCCGCTCCGTGGTGATGCAAGGTCGCCACCAGCAGCACAAGGTACTAACTGATGTTTACTACATACCAGCACTAAAAAGCAACATTGTTAGTCTGGGTCAGTTAGAAGAAAAAGGTTTTAAGGTCACTCTTGAAAATGGCAAGATGTGTGTGTTTGATCAAGAACGTGCCCTGTTGATCTCTGCTCCTAGAACTTCTAATAGGTAGTACACAATCAAGTTTGGTTTAGTGTCACCAGTATGCCTGTTAGCAAAGTCGGATGCCTGTTAACAAAATCTGATGATGTAGCATGGCGTTGGCATGCAAGATTTGTCCATCTAAATTTTAAAGCTCTCAGAGATCTCAGTTGCAAAAGGATGGTAGAAGGTATGCCAACAGTGAACAGGGTTGAACAAATTTGTGATGGGTGGGTTCTTGGAAAATAGCATAGAGTTCCTTTTCCCAAAGCTTCAAATGTTAGAGCAAACCAAGGCTTGCAGCTAGTTCATGCAGATCTGTGTGGTCACATCACTCCTAAAACACTAGGAGGTTGCTCATACTTTTTGCTTGTAGTTGATGATTACAGCAGATACATGTGGGTGGAGATGTTGAAAACAAAAGATCAAGCTCTAGATTTCTTTAAGAAAGTCAAGTAGAGAGCTGAGGTGGAGTCTGACAATAAGCTGAAAGCCCTGAGAACATATAGAGGAGGGGAGTTTACATCTCATCTTTTCTCAGTTTTTTTGCAATGAGCAGGGGATCAAGCACTATACTACTACTCCTTATTCTCCTCAGCAAAATGGAGTAGTAGAGCGTTGAAACTAGACAGTGGCGGAGATGGCAAGGTGTATGTTGAAAGCAATGAATGTCCCTACAAAATTCTAGGGTGAGGCAATCCTGATTGTTGTCTATGTTCTAAACAGATCACCAACAAAGAGCTTGAATTGTGTCACCCCATTTGAAGCTTGGTACAGGAGGAAACCAAAGGTGAGCCATTTGAGAACATTTGGATGTGTGGCTCATGTGAAGCATTCAAGTCTAGGTCTAAACAAATTGTTAGACAGATCAACCAAAGGTGGTGTTTATTGGCTATGAGTCAGGCACCTAGGGGTACAGGTTTTTTGATCCTGCTGTTGGTCGTCTGGTGATCAATAGATATGTGATTTTTTATGAGGGTCAAGCCTAGGATTGGACAAATGCAGAGAATGTGCCAATTCAAAAGGAGACTAAAACCTTTACTGTGCACTATGAAGTATCTGATGAAAATCCGACAACAACTGAAGATGCAGTGTTACCAACTACAGGAGAGGAGGGGGAGGCTTTAGTTGATTCGGATGGTGTTGTGGGTCCACATGAAGCAACACCTACTCCACAAAACTCCCCAGGCTCAGTCCAAGCACGACATTCTAACCGAGCAACACCACCAAGCCAAGGATCTGACAGTTCACAAGTGGGGCCAATCAGATACAAAACCTTCAATGACCTATTTGATTCCACTAAAGAATTATATGATTATGAATATAGTGGTGTATGTATGCTGGCAGCAGATGAGCCGACTGGTGTAGATGAAGCACTAGAGGAACAATGCTGGATTGATGCCATGAAAATTGAGTTGCTGTCCATACAAGAAATAATACCTGGTACTATACAAATCTTCTAAAGGGGACACAAAGCAATTGGACTAAAGTGGGTTTATAAAGTGAAGAGGGATCCAAAGGGAAATGTTGTCAAGCACAAAGCTAGACTTGTAGCAAAAGGATATGCTTAGAGGCAGGGGGTGGACTATGAGGAAGTTTTTGCTCCAGTGGCAAGACTGGAGACAGTGAGACTGATCCTAGCTCTAGCTGCTCAAGGTGGATGGGAAGTGCATCACATGGTTGTAAAATCAGCATTCTTAAATGGAGATCTGCTAGAAGAAGTGTATGTCCACCAACCCCTAGGTTTTATGAATCCCAAGTATCTAGGCAAGGTGCTGAAACTCAGAAAAGCTCTTTATGGGCTTAAACAAGCACCCAGAGCCTGGAATGCCAAGTTAGATCAAGAATTGTGCAAGCTGGGGTTTCACAGGAGTGAGGAGGAGCATCCAGTTTACAAGAGAGGCAGTAGTTACACACTGCTGTTGCTTGGGGTCTATGTAGATGACCTCATCATTTGTGGGCCTGATAATAAAAGAATTGCTGAATTCAAACAGTAGATGTGCAAGACTTCCAGTATGAGTGATCTAGGCATGTTAAGTTACTACTTGGGGATGGAAGTAAAGCAAAGTCCTGGTCAGATTACAATATGTCAGAGAGCATATGCAGCTAAGATTGTTGAGCAATGTGGCATGACTTGCTGTAATCCAGTGGATACTCCAATGGAACAAAACAACAAGTTACTCCCTGGGAAACCTGATCTAGCAAGAGATGTGACCAAATACATAAGCATTGTTGGAAGCTTGAGATATCTAGTGAAAACCAGACCTGACATAGCATTTGCAGTTGGGATGGTGAGCAGGTTCATGGAATCTCCAACTTCAAACCATTGGGCTGCTATCAAAAGAATTGTGAGGTATATAGCAGGGACATCTGAGTATGGTTGCAAGTATGAAAAGAAATCCACTTCAGGTTTGAAGCTGTTGGGTTACTCTGATAGTGATCATGCTGGTGATCTTGAGAAGAGGAAAAGTACTTCAGTGATTCTGTTTTTCTTGAATGATAATGTGGTTACATGGACATCTCAGAAGCAAAGGGTTGTATCACTATCCAGCTATGAAGCTGAGTATATTGCAGCAACTTCAGTAGCGTGTCGAGTTTGGTTGAGCAGACTCATTTCAGATCTGGCAGGAGACAGGGTGTAGAAGTTTAGACTTCTGATGGACAACAAATTGGCTCTAGAGTTGAGCAAGAATCTGGTGTATCATGAAAGGAGCAAGCACATTGACACATGTTATCATTACATCAGAGAGTGTATCAGTGATGGCATTGCAGAGGTTGAACACATCAGCACTGACAGACAGCTTGCAGACATCCTGATGAAGCCACTTGGGAGGATCAAGTTCGTCGAGATGCGTCAACAACTTGGCGTCAGCAACGTGTGTCACAATTAAGGGGGTGATTTGTTGAGTTTGATTCCTTGTAATCGTGACAGACATGTATCAGCATGGTAGATGCATTAGTTAGTTTGTTGTTTAGGCAAACATGTTTGCAATTATTGCATAGAATCAGGGGCAGCGTGGAGACTGCACGCGCTGCGCTTTGACCGCGTCTAGGGAGGGTTGGCTCCACCATGGCATGCACGCCGTGCATGTCGCACGAGCGTCCGCAAAAGATGGCGCACCGTGCAGCTGCATGTTGTGGTGGGAGTCTCAGATCAAGCCCGGTTTTAATACAAGCAAATGCATCAAGGAAAGCTACGCCATTCGCGGTGGAAACCGCTCTCTCTCGGGTGCGTGTGCTCGTTGTGTTCTCGCCATCGCGTTCGTGGTGATCGCGCTCCGGGCAACGCCGGAGCGTCGGTGAGTTCATAGCGTCGGCGATCCACCGGCCCTAACAAACTGAACAACGCGTCGTCCAAGCCGGCTGCTTGATGATCCTAGTCACAGCAGCTTGGAAATCTATCGTTCCTACTTACGCATGTGTCGTGGTTCTTGTATTTGATGATGCGAGTGAGTGTGTGATCATACTATTAGCAATGTTGTCTTCAAATCTATCGTTCCTATGCTTTATCAGCTTATTTGGTTGGCTGGTTCGTATCGTTGCTGGTTCGTGAAGAAATACTGCTGGCTAGTTTATATGAGAGAAAAATACTATTACAGCTGAAAATTTACGATCATATACGATAAGCCACGGCTAAACGAAGAGGCTGTATGAGACTGATTTTATTTTCTGAGAAATAATATGGTGATATATGTCAATCTTCCTTCCTGCAACGCAGCAAGTTGTTGGCCGTGGAGAAATAATATGAAAAGTGTACTGCTTGCAGCATTACTACGTACATGGCGCATATGCCCAGACGAAGCGCACATGGGTCACTGCCTAGCTTGTTGGCGTATGGCGCACAACACGGTGCGTGACCTGCATGCTGTCGCGCTTGCCTGCCTCTTAGCCTCTGTATGCTCGCCGGTAGCCAGCCTGCTGGCTGCCGCAGCGTGGGCCGTGGGCACGACTGCACGCACATGAGTGCCTGAACTAGCGCTGTAGCCTGCAGCCATCGTACTGTACTAATAAATAAATGCCGAGTAGTGGGCAAAAAACAGTGTGTTGAAATGACGATCCTCTGCTGCTACAAGGCAATGGGCGAAAGACAGTGTCCTTAGGCACCTACTAAAATTTAAATTTAGTTCCGGTTACATCGAATATTTGATACATGCATGAAGTATTAAAAATAGACTAATTACAAAACTAATTATATAGATTAAGACTAATTTACGAGATAAATCTATTAAGCCTAATTAGACTATGTTTAGCCTTTCTAATTAGTACCTAAATACTCGATGTGACATCTACTAAACTTTAGTCCCTGAATTAGGACCGTTATTGCTATTGCTAGGTTGTTACAGCCTCCGTCCTAAAAATGATGCAACTATGGGTTGTGTATCACGAAAAGTGGTTCATATTTGACCAAGTTTCTAGTAAATAATATTCACATTTATGGTTTTAAATTAATTTATTATGAAAATACATTTTGTAATTAATCTAATGGTGTTTATTTGATATCATAGACATATATACTTTTTTATTTAATTGATCAAACTTAAGTTACTAAAACATGACACTGTGTTAGAATTACATTCTTTTTGAGATGAAGTATTTGCTACTCTCCCTCTGTCCAAAAATAAATGTACTTTTAGAATTATGGTAAAGATAACGATGCTAGTGAAAAATTACAAATATACCTCTATAAAGATGTCATCATTACATCTTGAGAAGAGAGAAAGTATGAAAGGATAAATAAAGTTAGTTTGTTTTATTTTATAT